AAGAATTAGCAATGATTCTCTCTTAAACAGGAGGGAGACGGTGAAGATAGAGATTAATTTTGAGGTGATAAGAAGGAAACTGAGCAATTTCATGTCAGATGCATGCGAGCTAAATTTCTGCTGGAAGAGATTGGAGCGGTGGTTCAGGGCTTGAGTGGAGAAGGCTGCAGCTTCCTGGAACGGAACAAGGAGTCGGCTCTTCCCAAACTGCACTGGGGCCAAGCGAGGCCACCTGGTGTGATTACCAAACACCTCCTATAGTTAAAGCCATGTGCTGGGATCCCAGCCTCCTTTTGTCACAGCTTTTAATTTGTTGAGAAAGATATAGAAGAAGCACTTAGAGAACAATAGAAGACAAGATCATGTAGCACTCGCATGGCTTAACGTGTTGCATGAAGCTCAGAGAAGGGAGAGACCTGCATACTTCAGAGGAAATGGGGAAAGGCTGGGGCTTGCGCTGGACATTGAATATCAGGAAAATTTGAGGGATAGAAAAGGAGGCACACTTTTTGGTGGTGGAGGAAGTGAAAGGAAGAGAAGAATCAAAGGAAGAGGGGCAGGCATTAGGAGGCGCTCACGGTAAAAGCGTTGGGACTAGGGGTCAGGGCAGCAGTGATATTCAGGCCAAAAGACAAGCCCACCCAATGACCCACTCCTGCTTTGCCTGCCCTTGAGCCGTGCTGCCAGTCTCCTTGGCTATCTCCCATCCCTGCTCTGCGTTTCTCCGTAGCAATGATCACTTCCTAATATACCATATTTAAATGTTTTATTTATTTACATTTTCTAGAATGTGGGCTCTGTGAGGGCAGGAATAATGGTCTTTTTCGTTCGCTAGTGTATCTTCTTGGTCTAGATCAAATCTGGCATATAGAAGGCACTCAGTAAAAATTTGCTCAATGAATGAATTCAGTGGCAGTATCAGGGTTTATTGGGGGTCCCTCCAGGTAGGCTTAGGAATTTTTGGCTCACAGCCTGCTGTGGAGAAAAGCCCAAGCTAGGGAGAAGCGACAGTCTGCTTCTTAAAAAGGAGCTCTTTAACACCTAGGTGACAAGAAAGCACTCTGTAATTAAAGGCAGGACTTCCCCCAGAACTGAGGGCTGAAGAAGCCTTCCCTGAGGAAGGAGGGGAAAGTGTTTAAGAACTGGTGGATGTTTGCCTAATTGATCCAGAGTGGTGTAGGTGGTAGGATAAGGCCCCAGTGAGGCTTAATAACTTTGGGAAGCCCCACTGCTCTTAGGAGCCTTCATGTTTTATTCATCTGTTCCCTGAGCCCTCACAGGGCCTGTGTCAGCCCCAGTAAAAGGGACAATTTGTCCTCTTCCGGGTAAGGAGCCTTTCCGCAGGTCCTGGTCCAGGTAACAAGGGCCCCTTGTATCCTCGCCAGTTTGTGTTAGCCTGGCCAAGAGGGAAAAAAACATGATTTTTTGCTCCATACATTTAGATTTAAAATCGACTTCAAACTAGGCAATAAAGCATACAGTGTTCAGAGGCCAGGAGTTACAAGCCTGAGCGTTGCCCAGTGATGGAGTCGATCTGTGGCTGGTGTTCCCGTTGTCAGGAAGCACGCACAGTCATCGTGAGTCATGGGGTCTGTGCCCACCTTGAGCGACCAGTTCCCTCAGACATTAGCAGAGTTGTACAAATGAGTCAGCCCCCTGTGAGGCGGTCATCTGATTTTCCTGCTTTGTAAAATGAGTGTGAGAGCCCTCGCCTGCTCTCCATAGTCCCACATCTGCAGAAGGAAGGCGGTCTGATCGCACCTGTGAACACCTTGCGTTCCTTAAAAAGAGGCCATTTGCTTGTAGTCGATGGCATTGCTGTTTTGAAGGTTATTTGTCAGGAGAGGTGAGCTAGCAATTTTCTGGGAACCTTGGCACGTGCCTGCAATTTCCCAGGCAGAAGCCTGTTGGCTTTTAAGTTCCTTCCCCCAGAGAAAACCAGAAAGGTCCTTCCTGCCTTTGTAAAATGCCCAGAAGGAAAGACTCAGTGGGGAAAACTCTGGTAGCCTACTAGGAAAGGGTGAGCAGGTGGGAATAAACCTGTCAACCCAGTCTCCTCAGCTGAGAGGGCAGTCGTGAAGATAAACACCCCTCCCTCAGGTCACCCAGGATGTCATGGTCGGTGGCCATTTCCTACCCAGCGGAGAGGTAGGTAGGACCTGACCCAGACTCCCCGGGGCCGGGGTGCTCTGCAAGAACCGGGTGCCTGCCTGAGCCCCAGTCGCCGTTGTGGTTGGTATAGCCCAGTGCTCGAGGGCTGGACTTTGTTACCTGTCTCAGGATGCTCCCTGGCACAGGCCCACATGTGTCATTGTCACCTGACTGATGAGCAAGGCATAGGTGACAAACTCCAGTCCAGAACAGTGATGTTGCAGCGTTCGGCTGAGGCAGCAGGGAGGAGTGAATCCGGCCCCAGGATCAACCGAGGGCCTCGTGTTTCTGATCACGTTCTCCTCCCCACTCTCCCCTTCTCCTTTTTCCCTGCAATGGACGCTAACTCTGCTGAAGAAGCAGAATTACAATACCTGGGTTCTAACCAGCTCCACCACTTGGCGGCTGTTCATTTCTTGGCAAATTACTTAACTTCTCTGTGCCTCAATTTCCCTAAATCTATAGGTAAGAGAAGCATGGAAATGATACCTTCCCCCAAGTTCTATGAGAATTAAAAGAATTAACACTGGCGAAGTGAGTAGCGCCTGGCACAGGGTAGGTGCTTGGTAAATGGCAGTGTTAAGTAATAAACAATGCTCCTTACAGCCCTCTGGAAAGGCGCAGCTGGAGGCCAGCCAGGCGGAAGCATCATGGAATATCAAGTTGCTAACTAAGGTTGTTTTGATGCTTCCCCACTCCCACTCATGGGCCTTCCCCTTCCCTCATCTTGAGGAAATTGTGTTACTTTTGTAACTGTCGTTATAAAACCTCGAAATTGTCCTCTGACATTGCAGCTATGTCACCTCACCCAGTTTATGAAGCTTCAGTGGCCTTGGCTATACCTCTGCTCATCCCCACATCCCACAGATACGCTCCCCAGGGGCAGAATTCATTTAGTTACTTTCTTTTTAGCTTCTCTGGCACTTAAACTATATTTTCAGTGGATTTGAGGGGGAAAACCAAAAACCCAGGTGCCAAATCTGTGTTCTCCACCTGTGACCTAGTGTTGCAGCAAACTGAGGCTCCCAGATGATGTGGGCATAAGGCCAAAAATTAACTCACATTTTAGATGTCCGTCTTTTCAGAGGATTGTTTCCTAAGCTACTGGAGGGCCATCTGCTCCGCTCCCTGCTGCAAGATTGAGGGCAGCTGAGGCTTCCACGAGCCCCCATCTCTGTGGCCAGCCCTGTACTAAGCCCTTTCTGAAACTCTGTCACCAACTTGGGTGAGGGATGGGTTGAAGAGTATCATAATGTAGTGGAAGCAACCTGAAAGCCACATTCACCTGCGGGGCCTGGGTGCGTGGCAGGTACGAGGTAACCGGGAGTTGGAAGTCTACACAGGTGTTTCTGGGATTTTAGTGTGTCTTAGAATCACCTGGCAGGCTCGTTAAAACACAGTGAGCTGGGGCTCACCCCAGCTCTGGGGTGGGTCCCGAGAGTCTGCATTTCTAACTAGTTCTTAGGAAATGCTGAGGGCGCTGGAAGGGGAGCACGTTTTAAGAACCACTGGTTTGTGCAAACCAAAGGGATTCTCCAGCTTCTCTCTAGGAACCCGAGGTCACGGGTTCCTTGGTACTCTAATTCTTTTGTGAAGCAGAGCAGCTTGGTGGAAAATGCTGCTTTTAGAAGGGTAGGCTCTGAGGTCAGAGTGCCTGGGTTTGAATCTTGGCCTCATCTTACCAGATGTGTGATCTTGGCCAAATTATTTAATCTCTCTCTGCCCCAGATGCCTCATGAAAATAAATACTAACATTTTCTAAGAGCTTACTATGTGCTAGGCACAGTCCTGATGTTTTTACTATGCATTTGTTGATCCCTAAAAGACTAGGAGGCAGGTCCTATTATTATCCCCAATATACAGATGAGGAAATTGAGGTACAGAGAGGGATAATAAAAGTAAAGACTTCATAAGATTATTGTGTGGATTAAACGAGATAATCCACGTTAAACTGATGTTTGAGCATCTAAGAATGTTATTACTCTTACTGTGGGGACAAAGATCTGAAGGTCTTCTCCCTTGTTTTGAGACCTCTTAGGATTTTTCTAAGTGGGTAAACCATCCTTCCTTCTGACTCCCCTGGAAAGGATCTACCAATGACATCCCATATCCTTTCCTCGTTTAGGATCTCCCCCGAGAGATGGGCTCCCCTCTTGCAGACTTTCTGTCTCCGGGGGAGCTGCCACAGTTCTAAGGGCCCCAGGGCATGCGTGGGTGGAGAAGTGGGCATGGGGGGCATCGCGGAGGGAGTCCCCATGAAAGCAGTGGTGTGTGTGCCTGGGTAAGCAGGGCCTCCTGTATGAGACCTGACAGGGGCAGCTCACAAGAATGCAGGCAGTTTGCAAGCTCACCAGACCAAAAGGGGAAAGGGAGAGGAGAGAGAATGCCCCAAGCCCCAGCGCTGTGCCAGCACATTCCAACATAATCTGCACTTGCCAGTGGCCTCTGTTTTTCCATTAGAGCTGGAAAGTAAAGCATAGGGACTGGGCCATTGTTTTTCCTGACCTTGACACAATTTAAGCTTTCTTTTCCAGTTCCAGGCAGAGGGCTTTCTGTAAACCTGAGCTGAATGTGCATACTAATTGGTATTTAATCACCCTCATGAAACTGCATGAAAAGCTGATGTTTAGACCTTCAGAATTTTCTAGCTGTAAGTAAAATAATCTGAGATACAAGGAATTATCATTCAGTTCTAATTTGTGCTCTCTCTCACCTCCCAGCAGTTGCACTGGCTGCTGAAGCTCCTGTCTGTCCCCATACCCTGTCCTGTCTTTGCATCAACTAACATCTGCTCCACCCTTGGGAGGTCACCTCCCCCAGATGGTTCCTTGCTTCCCTTCTCCCAAGCCCACATCTCACCAAGGCTGGATTAGGTGTGATCCTAGGTGCTCTCATAACCTCAGTTCTCATCACACTGTTGCATGATGGCTTGTTTAAGCATCTGCTTCCTCCCCTCAACAAGAAGTTATAAGCTTTTTATTGATCTTTGATTTCCCAGTGCCAAGCATAGTGCCAGGCTGATGATAGGCGATCACTAAGTCTTTACTGACCAGTACCTTGTGCATGCCCACCCTGCCCTCGCCATTCTGCCAAATGCCGTGGGCCCTTCATGCGTGGAAGACCTGATTTCTACACTCACAGAGAACAATGACAGGCAGGAAACTATCAGTGACTCATTCCACGTAGTGGCAAATTCTGGGGTGAGAAGAGTTTGAAGTGCTCCAGCTTAAACCAGGGGCGAATTGATTGAGTAAACAAGAGGTGCCTGCCCAGCGTGTGAACTGATCCAGGGTGGACAGATGGGTGGCAGGTGTGTCTGAGCAGAGGCAGGAGTACACAGGCTTACACAGAAGGCCTCGGTGGCCATCGTGATGTCTTTCTAGATACCGAGTTCCTCCCACGGTAAAAATCCTGGTGAGACAGCAGGTGCTCTGAAAGAGTGGCTTTGCAAAGAGCCTTTCCCACGCTGACAAGGGTGTCAGAAATGGCCCAGGCTGGCTACACAAGGCACCACAGGGCTTGCCACCTCCTAGTGCGAGGTGTACTCTGGCTGAAATCCGAGCCTTCAAGATGTGGGTTAGATCCCCCTGGCAGACAAACCTCTCTGTACCCACTTCTCAGTCCTCAAAATTGCAGACTTCCGCTTCTTACTCCTGTCGGTTGGTCCCAAATGTACATCCTTGGTCATAAGGGAAACCAGGAGAAAAAAGTATTTGGGGAGGATGGGGTACATTTCTTTGCAACTGGACACATACTTTGAAGGGCATCTCCTAGTAAGTCAGCAGGGTCCTTTTTCAGTAGGAGAGAGGCAATGAAGGTAATGGTCAGGGTCTGGGAAGGCAGATTAGTTTGCCCTGGGTGGGGTACCTACGTATGCATATGGTACAGAGGATTCCATGATTTTAGTGCTGCTCCTGGTGACTGACTGCCGTCTGCTCATAGTCCAATCTGTTTTGTATTCTCTAGTCATTGCTTTCGTGTACATATAGTCTTAAAATAAATATTTGCTCCTTGAGGGCAGGGTACGTATTCTGGTGCTTCCTTTGTATTTTAGCAGAGTTATAGAAACTCAGAATAAAGGGGGGAGGAGAGGCAATACCTGTGGAAATGATATAAAAATCAAGAAAGGCATTGGGCACAGAGTTCCAGGCCTATTGATTGCTTTCCAAATCCAAGGCTAAACTTAGTCTCCTGATTTTATTAACTTCATAAACTTCTAGATGAAAGCTTGTGCAAAACCTCAGTAATATGGAAATAGGTTGCAACAACAACAAAAAAATGACTTGCAATATATTATGGAAGCTCATAAAATTTTCCTGAGGCTTCTAGGGAGCTCAGATGTCCACCAGCAAGGGGCGTTTCCCCACCACCACCACCACCACCACCAAAGACTACAAAGTTAACCAAGACCAGAGCTACCTCCTTACTTTGGCGTGAAATTTGACCCTACCAAGCATCACCCTTCAGTGAGCAATGGAGGCCAGATTCAGCAAGACAGCACAAGGGAATCTCATTCCTGGGACAAGTTCTTCTTTTTCACAAACACTAAAATTAGCTTTGTTTTCCTCTAGTCTTTTTACCCGAGAGATCTGACATAGCAAAGTGGGTGACCTTTCTGGCATTCAAGAAGAAACGACTAAATGGAGATAGAATGGTTGTTTACAAATATAAAAAAAATTTTTTAGACTAGACAGGGGTGGCTGGCTCTGTACTATTACTAGGGGAGGAGTAGAGGAGTAGAAGCACAAGAGGCTGATTTCACCTCGTCACGAGAAAGAACTTTCTGCCAATTCCAGCCACCTGAAATGCAATGGTCTGCTTTTTGGGGTAATGAGCTGCTTCATGCTGAGGGAATTTTCAAAATATTTAATCTACTTTTAAAATAGGTAACAGATGCAAAAAGATGATATTCAAAAGGAGCAAAAAGATACATTATGAAAAGTTTGTTTCCTTCCCAATCCTTTTTCCCAGGCATTGCTTTTTCTTCTGAGGAGACAACTTTTGTTATTTGATGTTTAATCAAAGGCCAGACAACTCTGTGAGGCATTGCACAGGATGACCTCTGAGGACCTTCCAATTCTTGCATCTCCTCCTTTAAATTTGCAGGTCACAATCCTTACGGTTCTATCACAAAACACACATTTGCTGCTCAAGGATTGGGCTGAGGATTTATGACTGTGGAAATATTGGGCCAGCTCTGAGCAGCCCTATGGCAACTGGCAGGTTGCAACACGTCACAAGACAAATATCTGAGGGAAATGGAACATAGACTCCTGTGCAAAGCTTGTAGGAACTCTTTGCCGAATGTGTCCTCCTTGATTTGAAGTTAAAGACAGGAACAGAACCACAGGGTGATGGGAAGGGGGTAGGAGCATTGGAGGGAGGAGCTTGGGAGGAGGAGGTGGGTTGGGGATGGCGTGGAACAGAATGGAGGTGGTGCATCCGTCAGGGGCTGCTGACATGTCCCAACAGTGATGGCTCGGACAGGAGCTTTTCTTGCCCTTTGGGAAACCCCAAGTACTCCTCTTGGTCTTTATTCCTAGCTCTTTCCTGCTTTTTTCAGATTTCTCAAATGTCTCTAAAGTCTGTTGTCAAATAACCTAGAAAGCATGCCTTACTCCCCCCTGCCATACAGAGCTACACATAACTACATAAATGGAATCTCTTTTCCTGTACCTTGGCAAATTCAAAGGCATTTTTGTCCTTGAAGATAAGCTCAAACCTCAGATCCTGACAGATGAGTATGGTTGTAGCCTTCACGGTCATGCAGACCTGACAAATCCAGGTGGCATCTGTCCTATTTCGGGAGCTTGGCTACTTCCCCAGCACGAATGGAGGGGAGTGGAAAAAAGGCAGGGCCTTCCAAGCAGGACTCCAGACTGACCTTCAATAAGAGGTAAAGAGGCCATCTTGCCTAACTTTGGTTCAGCTTCTTAGAGGGAAAATAAATAATAAAACCATTTCATTATCATCATTGTTTCAATGGCCATTACTAATTCTAAAGGCCAAGAAGTCAGTATTTACCAAATGTAAGTTGAAGAAAAGATGTATGTTTTCTAGGCATATTTTTATGTCAGCAATAGCAAACTACATGGCAAACAGAATCAAAAAGTCTTTAAGGATTTTTTTTTATCCAAGAAAAACTTGCAGGACATCTCAAGGAACAGATTACTACTCAGTTCTATACTTGGAGGCAGGTTTGGCGTTGGTTTCACAAGCATTTCCTCACATTGAAAACACTTATCAACACTTTGTTCAGGGACCTTGGCCGTGGGGATCTCTGGAGGTAGATCTGGGCTGGGGCTGGAGTTGTGGGCATCACCTTGTGCCATGAAAACTCCACTTCTACTGAAAACAACAATGATGTCAAAGGTAAAAGTAATGTTATAAAGAGCTAACATATTTAAATGCCTATCACAGAGATCTTTGCTAGGAACTTGGCATTTACAGTATGCTCTTATTTTTGCCTCAACACTCATAAGATAATGACTCATTGCAAACCTTTTTTTGTTTTTTTTTTTTTTGGCTGATGAGGGATCTAATCTGAGGATCAGAGAGGCCAAGCCATTTTCTCAAAGTCACACAGCCAGCAAGTGAAGCAGTCAAACCCAGACTGCCTGACTTCTCAGATGATGCTGTTAACTCTTATGCTAAACTATAAAAAGCCAACTCAGGAGAAAAAAGAAAACATGGTAGAATGATTCCAAGGAATGAGCTTAGGCAAGAAGGAAGGGAACAATTAGCAAAGTAAATGGTAGGAAAACCAAGAGTAGAATCAAGTGACATGCAAAAAGTAGATTGAGGTTAGCGATGCAGAACTAAACGTATAAATGGAAGAATAAGCTGAGACCCGCCTTTTGTTTGATACCTGTTTGTGTGGTAGAGTAGCTGTGTGCCTTAGAGGAACCTGCTGGCCTGGCTGTCATCTTCTCCTCCAACCAAGACTCCCACCTCCAGAGCAGGGCAGAACTGGGGAAGGAAGTACATGTGCCTTGGGTGGAACCTGGGCTCCACGTATAGTCCTGCAACCCATAACCAGAACCCACAACCAGAACCCATGTGCCGGCCTCTGAGTCTATCTAGAGTGCATTGTGAAGAGGTTGTATTGGCTTAAAGGAGTCACACTGGGCTGAAAATGTGTATCTCTAAAGATCACATATCACAGAACACTCATCCTAAGCACGACTTTAGCAGCCTGAGAAATAGAGAAACTTTTAACAAAAACTATATGAATGATATAAATTGTGGGAGAATGGAAATAATGATCTACTTGTCTTGGTGAACAATGCTCATTGCCAAACACATACAAAAAGTGTTTTGGTATATCACAAATAAGTGTTTCGGTACAGTAATTAGAAATAACCCTCTTTGATCTAATCTCTACATTACAAAGATTTCTTAAATTGCTATCTGTGACTTGAACACATTCAAACCTGAATTTTTTCATTGTTTTTGATCGTTCATACAAATCCCGGCCATGTTGGAGATGGTTGATGTATTCTGAGATTTCTTTCTCCTTTGCTTAGAGGAAGAAATGCAGCATGAAGAGGAGGCATCTGTATGTACTTCTTTGACTTTTCTTACTAGATTAGAGACAGAAAGGCATTTCAGCCTTGGGCAGTTCCCATAGAACATCACCTATGTGCTTTTCTAAGCAGGAGGCTTTATCACACTGCAGAATTTCTGTTCCCAGGCCAACTTCAGTTTATCCAGTATTCCCCTTTGAGGACTAAATACAGTGAAAACCCTCAGTATTGTCATTACTTTGAATACGAAGACAGGCAAGCTGCGGTGTTGACTCCTACTGATCATGAGAGTGATAATTAAATTTTTAGAAATTTTACGAACTGGTCGTTAAACCATTGGTAGCTTGACGTTGGCCATCTTGGAAGTATTTACACCACAGAGATTGACAAATGCTACAAATCAGGGTACTTTTTTTCGAGAATTAAAAATGAGACCATGATTCCTTCACTGACTATGCCATACATTCATAGTTTTTTCAGAAACCTTGTTGAGCATCTACTCAATGACATACCTGGTAGTAGGTATAAGAGCTATAGAGCTAGACGATACAAAATCTTTGAACTAGAAGAAGCCTCCCCAACTTTGAGAAGCTCCCTGACCATTCTTTTGCCTACTGCTAAGATGAGTGATTAGCTTTGAGGCTGTTCCCACTTGAGATTGAAATATTTCGAAGTCTCTTTCACTTGCCGTGATCAAACATCCTAAGAAAGGTGTTTCAAAAGCTTATAACCAATTCATCTCAAAATAAAATATTTACAGAATGACAGAAGAGTCCCTAACTCTTCAAAAACCTTCCTCTTCCTCTCTTCATCCTTATTCTGGTTTCTTGGGGGGGGTTTTCATGCCAAAAAAAGAAACATAGGGTAATTCCCTTGAGTAACCTTGGGGCATTTGCTTTTGCTAGTGCCTTCCAGATTGCTGCTACTTTATCAATTGTTCATTTTTAAATCTCATTCAAATATATGATTTTCTCTCTAGCTTGCACGCTCTCCACTTCTAATTCCATAGCTCTGTGTCCAGAATGAAAAATGCCAAAGGTAAAAAGAGATTGGCTTGGGTTATATGACGCCGTGGGCTGGAGATGGCGTCTGACCGCCTGGTTTTGCCACCGATCTGCTGAATGACCTTGAGCTATCACTTTCAGAATCAATGTGTAACAGAAGGGCGTTTCCACCCACAGGGGTATTTAAAGAAATTAACTGGGGCCGTCTAGGGACTTTGAAAAGGCAAAGACAATTGGCTATTATTAATCCGGTGCTGGGCCAGTTCAACAGACAGGCTCTGTATTGTCCAGATGGTGGAAAGCCTTGGATCCCTTACCTCTGAAAACCATAATCAGCTTAAAAGAACCTGAAACGGTGAACGCTTAGAATTTCCTGTTGAGGATCAGAGTCAGTGCTGTGGTTGCTCACAGGAAATAAAGCAGGATTAGGTATCAGCCTCAAAGACCTGGGTCCCTGGAGACTGTGACTTAAGGGGAACATGGAAACGGAAAACAGAAAGGGAGTGAATCCTAGGCCTCAAATGTGAGGGTGCAGGAGTGAGTCGAGAGGTGAGGCAATTGCAGATTTTTCTCTATTTCTCTTTCTTTTTGGTTTCGGTTCTTTCCCGCTGCTGATGCTTATAGGATACTTCATTTTTAAGCCTCCTCATTTTAAGCCATTTTTAAGGTTCCAAGCATTTTTTGGAACACCTGCTCTGTGATATAGCCTGGGGATACATTGGAGAAAAAGATGACGTATCTTCCCCCGAAAGGAGCCCACAGTCCATGGAGGAGAAAGAGAAGAAAAGCATGTCAGCGGAACATGCCAAGGAACATGATGCAGCAGATCACGCACACATAAGAGCTGGGGGGATGTCCCTGAGCCAAGCTGATCACATTAGGGGGAGCTTCCTGGAAGAAGTGATATCTGGGCTCGTTTAGGGACAAATGGATATTAGCCAGGTGTGTAAGGAAAGGATGTTTCAAGCAGAAGGAAGAGAACATGCACAGAGATGTAAGAGAGGAAGGTAGTTCAAAGAATTCTAAGTGAAGCTGGAGCTTAGAGTTTGACCAGGGAGGGGGGCAGGGGTGAGTAAGCAGAGGCCAGTCCCAGAATGCCCCACTGGGCCATGCTAAAGAATAGTTTATCCAGGAGGAAAACAAGAAGCCGTTGAAGTATTTTAAGCAGGACTTTACTAGAGTTGTGATTTAGAAAACATTCAAAAAATAATAATAGTAAGATTATTTAATATTTATTGAGCACTTAAATGCCAGATATATTTTAAGCACTTTTCTTGATATAATACATTTGGGTTCACAACATCCTTGCCCAAAGCCTTATGGTGGCAGCAAAGTGTAAACCAGTCGGGCTACCGCCAGCGACCCTGCTCCTAGCCACTAAGCTGTAAACTATGTTACCTTGTTGTTGCTTGACAGCAAATACTAATTCTCATTGTTTATCCTTCCCGTATTGTTTTTTAATTTGAAGCCAGTATACTCTAGCAATTTTCATGTACAAACAAGAGATCTGACTTTGTGAAAACCCCCAGATTTCAATCATATAAGGTCTGGAGGTTATAAATTGGAAAGAATGCACAGAAAATTTTATACTAACTGGACTCTGTTTTTGCCTTTCTGAGGCAGTTGCATGGTTTCTCAATAAAGATAACTGTGGAAGCCATTTCCGTTTGTTTCAATTCTGAGCTGTGCTTGGACTCTACGAGAATCCCTGTTCTAGGCTCAGTGCCTGGATCCCAGAGTGAATTGTTCCTCCTTTAGAGGACTATGAAAGAGAAAACTCATTTCCTTTATCTCACTTGAAGCCAGTTTTTTTTTTTTTTAACTCAAATTACCAGTTAACAAGGAAGACAGTTCAGAAAAATCAAATCAGAGTTAAATGAAGGATAGTTAAAAAAAAAAATAAAAGAATAAAAAGAATTTCTTTCATTCCTAGAGGGCAAATCTTTATGTAACCTTAGATTGTGCATAGCTCCTGAAATATGCTCACACATGTCAAATATTACTTTTATTCAGTCAATCAAGTGAAACTTACTAAACATCTGCTAGGTGCCAGGCACCGTGCTAGCTACAGATAGAGAAATGTTTAAGTCACAGCTTCTACTTTCAAGCCTAGTGGAGGATCTCAGAGTCACAGATATTATTATTTCAATGGGGGTGTTTATCATCTTCATCTCTCTGAACACCTCCCTTTCCCCATGGCTCTCACCATGTGTCCTTAGACTGCAGGTAATCTGAA